CTGTTTTTGCAGAGGTGCTCAGAACACAACAGTTTAGAAGCATATACATACTATAAAGATACACAACATATCCCTCCAAACTGCTAATACATTTATTAAATATTTACATTTATTAAATATTTAATACGTACATTTATTAAACAAAAATACCAACCACTTCAACACTATATCCCTCCCTGCTTTTAACATTTCTGTCATGATCCCGTCAGTTCCAGCTGCTTTACCCCCTTTCATTCTACGTAATGCCTCATCCTGTTCTTCTTCACTCCTAAAAGTTGGTATACCTCCCTGACCAGTGCATGAAATTAACGCCTCCCTTTCTTCCTCAACATTTAAAAGTTCCTCAAAATATTCTCTCCATCTACCTAATACCTCCATCTCCCCATCTACTAACTCCCCTACTTTGTTTTTAACTGACAAATCCATTCTTTCCCTAGGCTTTCTTAACTTGTTTAACTCGCTCCAAAATTTTTTCTTATTTTCATTAAAATTTCTTGACAGTGCTTCTCCCACTCTATCATCTGCTCTCCTTTTGCACTCTCTCACCACTCTCTTCACCTTTCTTTTACTTTCCATATACTCTACTCTTCTTATAACACTTCTGCTTTGTAAAAACCTCTCATAAGCTAACTTTTTCTTTCTTATCACAACCTTTACTTCATCATTCCACCAATTGCTCCTCTTTCCTCCTGCACCCACCCTCCTATAACCACAGACTTCTGCCCCAGATTCTAATACTGCATTTTTAAAACTATTCTAACCCTCTTCAACCCCCCCACTGCTCATACTTGCACCAGTCCACCTTTCTGCCAATAGTTGCTTATATCTCACCCGAACTTCCTCCTCCCTTAGTTTATACACTCTCACCTCCCTCTTACTTGTTGCCATTTTCCTCTTTTCCCATCTACCTCTTACTGTAACTGTAGCTACAACTAAATGATCCGATATGTCAGTTGCCCCTCTATAAACGTGTACATCCTGGAGTCTACCCATCAACCTTTTTTTTTTCTTTTTTCAACAAGTCGGCCGTCTCCCACCGAGGCAGGGTGACCCAAAAAAGAAAGAAAATCCCCAAAAAGAAAATACATTCATCATCATTCAACACTTTCACCACACTCACACATTATCACTGCTTTTGCAGAGGTGCTCGGAATACAACAGTTTAGAAGCATACACATATAAAGATACACAACATATCCCTCCAAACTGCCAATATCCCAAACCCCTCCTTTAAAGGGCAGGCATTGTACTTCCCATTTCCAGGACTCAAGTCCGACTATATGAAAATAACTGGTTTCCCTGAATCTCTTCACTAAATATTACCCTGCTCACACTCCAACAGATCGTCAGGTCCCAAGTATCATTCGTCTCCATTCACTCCTATCTAAAACGCTCATGCACGCTTGCTGGAAATCCAAGCCCCTTGCCCACAAAACCTCCTTTACCCCCTCTTTCCAACCCTTTCGAGGATGACCCCTACCCCTCCTTCCTTCCCCTATAGATTTATGTGCTTTCCATGTCATTCTACTTTGATCCATTCTCTCTAAATGACCAAACCACCTCAACAACCCCTCTTCTGCCCTCTGACTAATGCTTTTATTAACTCCACACCTTCTCCTAATTTCCACACTCCGAATTTTCTGCATAATATTTACACCACACATTGCCCTTAGACAGGACATCTCCACTGCCTCCAACCATCTCCTTGCTGCTGCATTTACCAATATATAATCTAACAAACTACTTTCATTATGTGCTATATCATACCTTGTATATTTATTTATCCTCTTCTTCATAAAATATGTATTACTTATTACTAAACCTCTTTCTACACATAGCTCAATTAAAGGCTCCCCATTTTCATTTACCCGTGGCACCCCAAATTTACCTAGTACTCCCTCCACAAAATTTTTGCCCACTTTAGCATTGAAATCCCCAACCACCATTTCTCTCACACTTGGTTCAAAACTCCCCACGCATTCACTCAACATTTCCCAAAATCTCTCTCTCTCCTCTACACTTCTCTCTTCTCCAGGTGCATATACGCTTACTATAACCCACTTTTCACATCCAACCTTTATTTTACTCCACATAATCCTTGAATTAATACATTTATAGTCCCTCTTTTCCTGCCATAATTTATCCTTCAACATTATTGCTACTTCTATAGCTCTAACTCTGTTTGAAACCCCTGACCTAATCCCATTTATTCCTCTCCACTGAAACTCTCCTACCCCCTTCATCTTTGTTTCACTTAAAGCCAGGACATCCAGCTTCTTCTCATTCATAACATCGACAATCATCTCTTTCTTATCATTTGCACAACATCCATGCACATTCAGACTTCCCACTTTGACAATTTTCTTCTTATTCTTTTTAGTAATCTTTACAGGAAAAGGGGTTACTAGCCCATTGTTCCCGGCATTTTAGTTGACTTTTACAACACACATGGCTTACGGAGGAAAGATTCTTATTCCACTTCCCCATGGATATAAAAGGAAAAGTAATAAGACCAAGAACTATTAAGATAAAATCAAAGAAAACTCAGACGAGTGTGTATAAATAAACATGTACATGTATGTGTAGTGTGACCTAAGTGTAAGTAGAAGTAGCAAGACATACCTGAAATCTTGCATGTTTATGAGACAGAAAAAAGACACCAGCAATCCTACCATCATGTAAAACGATTACAGGTTTCCGTTTTACACTCACTTGGCAGGACGGTAGTACCTCCCTGGGCGGTTGCTGTCTACCAACCTGCTACTTATCTTTAGTAATATGATTGTTTATATGTAATATGATTGCATATGATTGTTTATATGTAATATGATTGTATGTGATTGTTTATATGTAAATCTAACCCCAACAACATACCTTGTACATCCCTACCCAATTTTCAAAGGATAGGAACTGTACTTCCAACCTTAACCATTTCGGGGTGGGTCCCATTGTACTATGACTTTGAAACGCGGGTCGGTCCCATTGTTCTACATGACGAGCTCAGCTCTCTCAGATAAGCTGTGAGCGGTAAATTTGAGCTTAGATACGAGAGAATGGGTCTACATGGTAAAAATGCACCATATAAAAAATCTTGCAGCATGCAGTGCATAATGGGGAAAAAAACTGTGATCGTGTTTTTGGTTTAAAACAACAAATTTGCGGTGTATTTTCGTGTGGTTTTTATGGATGTATTCCTGGTTTTTTGGTCTCATTTTGTAGAATGGAAGATATACTACAGAAATGGAGATGATCTTGATTGGATTCAGGACTGAAAGTAGCTTGAAATTGAGCTCAATTAGCAGAAATGTTTGATTTTTGCTGATTTTTCAGAGTACATAAATTATCTTGCTCGTCCAATACGCATCCAGCTTGCTACTCTAACATGCATTTAGAAATGCACTGACATTATTTATACAATTATTACAATAATGCAGTAGTCTGCATAACAGTAAATCTTCTATATTTTGTGTGAATTAAATTTTGAAATAGAAAGTAAGCGTAATATAGGAGAGGCCTGGGGACATAACTGATGAACAGAGGAAATATTGTTTTATTGCCAAGAATGTCTACATTGTTTATTCTGGACTCTCTTTTTAAATTGGCAATTTTTGAATTTTGTGTGAAATTGGCCAAATTATTGATTTCTGATCACTGTGTGTAGTTGAAATAGGTAAATGGGCAGTTTCTTGTACTAATTCATTAGAATAGAGGGAATACTAGTGAAATAGCTGTGAGTCTACTGGAGCAATGGAATTAGCTGGAAATAGGGCTCAAAATGGGTGAAATCACTGATGCATAAACATCGCCAAGAAAGCCAACTTTGCGAGAGGGTAATTCTGTGAGTTTTCCATCAAATTTTGTACTTTTAGTTTCATTATCTTCAGAAAAAGATTCTTTGTCATTTCATAAGAAAAAATATATATATATTTTTTTTTTCAACAAACCGGCCGTATCCCACCAAGGCAGGGTGGCCCAAAAAGAAAAGCGAAAGTTTCTCTTTTTAAAGTTAGTAATTTATACAAGAGAAGGGGTTTCTAGCCCCTTGCCCCCGGCATTTTAGTTGCCTCTTACAACACGCATGGCTTACGGAGGAAGAATTCTGTTCCACTTCCCCATGGAGATAAGAGGAAATAAACAAGAACAAGAACTAGAAAGAAAATAACAGAAAACTCAGGAGGGTGTGTGTATATATATGCTTGTATATGTATGTGTAGTGTGACCTAAGTGTAAGTAGAAGTAGCAAGACGTACCTGTAATCTTCCATATTTACGAGACAGACAAAAAGACACCAGCAATCCTACCATCATGTAAAACAATTACAGGCTTTCGTTTTACACTCACTTGGCAGGATGGTAGTACCTCCCTGGGTGGTTGCTGTCTACCAACCTACTACCTACAAATATATATATTTTTTAAATTCTCTGACCCTGAGAGCAATTTTCAGATCAAGGGTTCCAACCCTGAGAGGGTTGGATTACCAGTTTTCCTTAAACTCTTTATAAATATTACTTTATCCATACTCCAGCAACATGCCAAATCTCCAAAATTTCTTGCTTGCAATCACTGTGTTGTAATATGTTCACATATGTTCAAGCTTCAACTTATCAAGACTTTGATACAATCCTTTCAACCCTTTCTTGAATATCCCTTATATTTCCTTCCATCTCCTGCAGATTTATATATCTTCTTAATCAGTTTGTCTTCATTCTTCCTACTTGACTAAACATTCTCAACATTCCCTCTTCTGCTCTTTGAATTATACCTCTCAATGTTTTCTAATGTCTTTGTTTCTTTTTTTTCTGCATTATATTCACACATATTGCTTCCAACCTCCTCCTTATTGCAGCATAAAAAGACCATGTGTCCTACCCATACAGAAGCATTGACAATACTGATATTTATATTTATATAGTAATTGTATTTATAGTCATCCCTTGCTTTTAGGTACCGATATTTATATTTATATAGTAATTGTATTTATAGTCATCCCTTGCTTTTAGGTACCTGTTGATCACAATTCTGGCATTTTCATAACACTCAACCCAGCTGGAAAAGGTTATGGTGGTCGTCAAAAGCTTCCAGACAATCTAAAGCAATTGTTTAGACCTGTTGCAATGGCCCGTCCTGACAATGAACTAATTGCTGAAGTCATTCTATTCAGTGAGGGCTTCAAGGATGGGAAAAATCTTGGACGTAAACTTGTTGCAATCTTCAACTTGTCAAAGGAACTCCTTACACCACAGCAGCATTATGACTGGGGTTTACGAGCTCTTAAGACAGTATTGAAAGGCAGTGGTAGCCTGCTTCAGTCTTATAGGTTGGTGTACTAGTCTTTAAAATTATGCTGTTACGTTTGTGATGGCATATTTATCTTTAAAGTATAATAAAAAAAATTTCCCCTGCTTTCTAAAACTACATTTTTCATATTGCAGACGGACATTACTTGAAGAAGGAAAGTCAACTGACATAGATACAAATATGGAATCAGAGTTGGTTGTGCAAGCTTTGCGACTCAACACACTCTCAAAACTCACCTTTTCTGACAGCTCTAGGTAATTTTGTTATATTGTTGGTTTTGAACAAATTTATGGCAGGGTATGATCTCATAATTTGTTCAGAATATATTTTTTTCAATCCAGGTACTGAGATAATGATAACAAATTAGCTAAATTTATGTTTGCTTACCCGGCATTAAGTGAAACAGTTTTTCATTATCTGCCATCCAAGAACTAGCAATACGGTAGCCTGCTGGTTAACATCACTAACACTTAGTTTTAAATATATACAGTACTAGTTTTTTTTGTCATTTCATTCCCTTGAGATTTTTCTTTGTATTTACTTGTTTCCCTCTCCAATTCAAGTACCCTTTTTTATACTAGTTTAAAATATGATCATTCACCTAAATAACTTCTATTATGTTTCTTCTAGGTTCGATGACCTGGTGCGAGACGTGTTTCCTGATATTAAATTTAGAGGTGTTGGCTACGAGGATTTAGCTGAAATTTTACATGACACATTTAAAGAAATGACTCTTATACCCAATGAGAGACAGATAAAAAAAGCTCTTGAGCTTTATGAGCAACTCCAGCAGCGTATGGGAGTGGTGGTAGTTGGTCCTTCAGGATCAGGAAAAACAACCTTGTGGCAGACCTTGCGACATGCTCTCCTGAAAATGGATAATAAAGTAAAGAAATATGTTATGAATCCTAAAGCTATGCCAAGACAACAGCTTCTTGGGCACATTGACCATGATACAAGGGAATGGTCTGATGGTGTTCTTACTGCTTCTGCAAGACAAGTTGTCCGGGAACCACCTGATGTAACTTCATGGATCATTTGTGATGGCGACATAGATCCCGAGTGGATTGAGTCATTGAATTCTGTATTAGATGACAATCGGCTTTTAACTATGCCATCAGGAGAAAGGATACAATTTGGTCCAAATGTCAATTTCCTCTTTGAGACTGATGATTTATCCTCTGCCTCACCTGCTACAATCTCTCGCATGGGCATGATTTTCCTAAGTGATGAAGACACCAATATTCATGCAGTTGTTAATGCTTGGCTTGAGTCACAGGGAGAAGAAGCCAAACGCTACCTTGAACCATACATTGAGCAATACTTCTTTAAAGCTCTTGAATGGGTGCTGAAAGCTGGTGAAGTTGAAGTTGAAACTACCCTAGTTGGATGGGTTTTAAATGGCCTCTCACATCTTCATGAAGTCACCAGTAAAGCTCACTTTTCCTTGGCACTTGTGAAGGGTCTGGGAGGTAATCTTCCTGCAAACATCAGATCAGACTTTGCTCGTGAGGTATTTTCGTGGGTGGGCGAACATGTGCCAGATCAGCGCAAACCTCTCAATGTTTATTATGATGCTTCCCGTGACCGCTTAGAACCATATACGTCTGATTCCACTGAAGACATCGTAGTTGGTACCGGTGAAGTTCCCCTGATATTAACAGCTGATGCCAAATGTGCTCTTGATTATTTCATGCCATGGCTTCAGTTAGAGACAAAACAGTCTTTCATTCTGGTTGGACCAGAAGGCTGTGGAAAGAGGTATGTTTATGTAGTGCACAGTTTGATAGTAAAGAGATATGTATGCTAGAACTTCTCAGCTCATTAAATATAGCTACTTTATGCTCATTTCAATGATTACTGTTCTCTGTCTTCTAAACTGCTTGGAGCAGAAGCCTATCCTTTGTATTGGTGCTATAATATGCCATAAAAATTTGACATTATGTTACCTTAACAATAAAAGAAAGTCTAGTCTCCATTTAATAAGTTTTTACATTGTATCATAAATATTTATCACTAAGCTTAAGAAAATCTAACAGACGAAAGGGGATTATTCAATAGATGCTTGGGTAATGCTTTCTTTATATTATATTTGTAATTTGTTGTATATACTGTGTAATTTTATATACTGAACAGTAATAATAGTTGCAAATGGTGAGAGATGTAGAGTAATACAGTTGACCTTGGATATTGCTCCAAATTTTCCTTGTTTATGTTATGGGCTAAAATGCCTTTAGGCAGTAAGACCAGTTGAATAACATCATGGCAAATGTGTTTCCTTCTTTGGGCCAACCTGCTATGGTGGGAGATAGGCATTGGAGTAAAAAAAAAATTACATGTGAATTTTTTTTTAGCACGTCAGCCATATCCCACGGAGGCAGGGTGACCCAAAAAGATAGAAGAAACTTTCATCATCATTCAACACTTTCACCATCACTCATACATAATCACTGTCTTTGCAGAGACGCTCAGATACGACAGTTTGGATGTCCCTCCAAACTGCCAATATCCCAAACCCCTCCTTTAAAGTGCAGGCATTGTACTTCCTATTTCCAGGACTCAAGTCCTCATAAACACGCTAAGATAACAGGGATATCTTGCTACTCCTACTTACACTTTGGTCACACTTCACAGACACGCACATGCATATATATATATATACATACATCTAGGTTTTCCTCCTTTTTCTAAATAGCTCTTGTTCTTTTTTATTTCTTCTATTGTCCATGGGGAAGTGGAAAAGAATCTTTCCTCCGTAAGCCATGCGTGTCGTATGAGGCGACTAAAATGCCGGGAGCAATGGGCTAGTAACCCCTTCTCCTGTATACAATTACTAAAAAAGAGAAGAAGAAAAACTTTATAAAACTGGGTTGCTTAAATGTGCGTGGATGTAGTGCGGTGACAAGAAACAGATGATTGCTGATGTTATGAATGAAAAGAAGTTGGATGTCCTGGCCCTAAGCGAAACAAAGCTGAAGGGGTAGGAGAGTTTCAGTGGGGGGAAATAAATGGGTTTAAAAATCTGGATATCTGAGAGAGTTAGAGCAAAGGAAGGGGTAGCAGTAATGTTAAATGATCGGTTATGGAAGGAGAAAAGAAAATATGAATGTGTAAATTCAAGAATTATGTGGATTAAAGTAAAGGTTGGATGCGAGAAGTGGTCATAATAAGCGTGTATGCACCTGGAGAAGAGAGGAATGCAGAGGAGAGAGAGAGATTTTGGAGATGTTAAGTGAATGTATAGGAGCCTTTGAACCAAGTGAGAGAGTAATTGGGGTAGGGGACTTGAATGCTAAAGTAGGAGAAACTTTAGAGAGGGTGTGGTAGGTAAGTTTGGGGTGCCAGGTGTAAATGATAATGGGAGCCCTTTTATTGAACTTTGTATAGAAAGGGGTTTAGTTATAGGTAATACATATTTTAAGAAAAAGAGGATAAATAAGTATACACGATATGATGTAGGGCGAAATGACAGTAGTTTGTTGGATTATGTATTGGTAGATAAAAGACTGTTGAGTAGACTTCAGGATGTACATGTTTATAGAGGGGCCACAGATATATCAGATCACTTTCTAGTTGTAGCTACACTGAGAGTAAAAGGTAGATGGGATACAAGGAGAATAGAAGCATCAGGGAAGAGAGAGGTGAAGGTTTATAACTAAAATAGGAGGCAGTTAGGGTAAGATATAAACAGCTATTGGAGGATAGATGGGCTAATGAGAGCATAGGCAATGGGGTCGAAGAGGTATGGGGTAGGTTTAAAAGTGTAGTGTTAGAGTGTTCAGCAGAAGTTTGTGGTTACAGGAAAGTGGGTGCAGGAGGAAGAGGAGCGATTGGTGGAATGATGATGTAAAGAGAGTAGTAAGGAGAAAAAGTTAGCATATGAGAAGTTTTTACAAAGTAGAAGTGATGCAAGGAGGGAAGAGTATATGGAGAAAAAGAGAGAAGTTAAGAGAGTGGTGAAGCAATGTAAAAAGAGAGCAAATGAGAGAGTGGGGGAGATGTTATCAAAAAAATTTTGTTGAAAATAAGAAAAAGTTTTGGAGTGAGATTAACAAGGTTAAGAAAGCCTAGAGAGCAAATGGATTTGTCAGTTAAAAATAGGAGAGGAGAGTTATTAAATGGAGAGTTAGAGTATTGGGAAGATGGAGGGAATATTTTGAGGAATTGTTAAATGTTGATGAAGATAGGGAAGCTGTGATTTCGTGTATAGGGCAAGGAGGAATAACATCTTGTAGGAGTGAGGAAGAGCCAGTTGGAGTGTGGGGAAGTTCGTGAGGCAGTAGGTAAAATGAAAGGGGCAAGGCAGCGGGATTGATGGGAAAAATAAATGTTAAAAGCAGGTGGGGATATAGTTTTGGATGGTTGGTGCAATTTTTTAATAAATGTAGGAAGAGGGAAAAGGACTGGGTTTGGAAGAGCATGCATAGTTCCTTTGTATAAAGGCAAAGGGGATAAAAGAGAGTGAAAAAATTATAGGGGGGTAAGTCTGTTGAGTGTACCTGGTAAATTTTATGGTAGAGTTATAATTGAAAGAATTAAGAGTAAGACGGAGAATAGGTAGCAATAAACAAGGAGGCTTTAGGAAAGGTAGGGGGTGTGTGGGCCCGGTGTTTACAGTGAAACATATAAGGAACGTATTTGATAAGGCTAAAGAGGTCTTTGTGGCATTTATGGATTGGGAAAAAAGGGTTGAAGGGTGGATGGGGGGCAATGTGGAGTTTGCAAATGTAGGTGTAGGGGGTGGTTCTGAAAACCGTGAAGAGTTTTTGAGGATAGTGAGGCTCAAGTTAGAGTTGTAGGAAAAGGGAAATTTTTTCCAGTAAAAGTAGGCCTTAGACAAGGATGTGGATGTCCCGGGTTGTTTAAAAATATTTATGAGGGGGTTTTAAAAGAAGTAAGCGAGGGTCTTGGCAAGAGGCGTGGATTAAAAGTAAAGAATCAACACAAAGTGGAGTTGTCACAGGTCTTTTTGCTGATGACCTGTGCTCTGGGAGTTTTTTAAGAAAGTTTCGAGATTTGGGGGATGAATTTTTGGTAGGGTGTGAAAAGAAAAAATTAAAAGGGGAAAAACAGGAAAGAGTAAGGTTATGAGGATAACAAAAAAATTAGGGGATGAAAGATTGAATATCAATTGGAGGGAGAGAGTTGGAGGGGTGAACGTATTCGTATTTGGGAGTGGGGGTGTTCAGCGGGGGGTCTATGAAAGATGAGGGAATCTGAATTGATTTGGGGAAAAAAAAAAGTGAGGGTGCACTTAGGATTGTGGAGACAAAAAACTTTGTCCTTGGAGGCAAAGAGGGGAATGTATGAGAGTATTTTTTTTTAAACCAACGCTCTTATATGGGTGTAAGCGTGGTGAGGGAATTTAAAGGCAGGAAAAGGGGCGGGGAGGCAGTGGGAGGAAGGGTGGGGCCCTGGGGGAAATGTGTGGGGGTAAAATAAAAAGCAGAGAATTCGAAATTTTTGGAAGATAGGAGGAGGTGCGGATTACAAAACGGGTTGTCCAGAGGGTTTGGGGAAAGGGGTTGTTGAGGTGGTTGGGACATGTAGAAGAAGGGAGCGAAACAAATGACTTCAAGAGGTAACAGCCCTTAAGGGGAAAGGGAAGGGCGGGGGGGGGGACGCCTGGGAAAGGGGTTTTGGAGGGGGGGGAAAAAAGGGATTTTTGGTGTGCGGGGGGGCTTGGACTTCCAGCGGGCCCATGCTTGAGCGGGGTTTGATAGGAGGGGAAGGGAGACAAATGGTTTTTAATACTACGTGCTTTTGGAGTGGGGAGCAAAGAAAACATTTATGAAGGGTTTCGGGGAAAACCGGCGGGCCGGGACTTGAGTCCGGAGGGGGAAAAAGTAAAAGTGCCTGAAACTCTGAAGGAGGGGTTTAAAGTTGCATTTTAAAAAACTGAAGTGTAAGCCCCCTTCGGGGCAAACAGTGATGGAGTAAATGAGGGTGAAATTTTTCTTTTTCGGCCACCCGGGCCTTGGTGGGAATCGGGCCATTTGTGATAAAAAAAAAAAATTAAAAAAGCCCATTTAAAATTCCCAAAAATGTTCCCCCTGTTTTAAAAAATTTACCCTGTTTTTAAAAAATTTAAAATTTTTTTATAAATTTAACTTTTTAATTAATATTAATTTTTTTCAATTTTTTTAAATAACCCTATTCGGGTAATTAAAGGGTGTAGCTCCTAATTTTTTGGCATTTTTTGGCTTTTTTACACCACCAACTGCTTCACCATTGCTTCTCCAAACTGGGGGGAGCACACGGGTTTGGCCCCCCCCCAAATGATTCACTGCAGCGCAAAAACCGCCCCTCAACATGGCTTCAAAGCTCTCCCAGGTGACCACAGACAAAGTTGATTTTTTGCCACAACATTCTAGAACAATTTTACATTTTAGGGTGAAAAGGGAAAACCCCCGGGGAAACCTAAAACAAAAATATTTATTTTAAATTTTTTATTTTTTTATTTATTTACAATTTGGGGGGGGGGGGGCAACCCCCAAGGTAAAAAAATACGGGATAAGGGGGGGCAGCATCCCAAACCCTTATACTATGCATAGTTTAAACGGGGGGGCTTAAAAGGGGGATTAATACTCTATTTTTTTGGCCTAAACACTGACCTTTTCCCATAGTAGGGGAAAGATGTACAGTACTCATTTTACGGGCCCTTTTTTCTTTTGTCCCCCCTTATGTTTTTGGGGCTTGTGCCAATGATAAGTTTTTATAACTTCCCTTTTTTTTTAAATTAAAATTATCCTTTTAAGTTT